CATTTATATCTCTTGGAAATTTTTTTTTTTTTATTTTCTATATCAATTGTTTAAGAATTCTGACACCAGCCACAAACCATAATTGCTATCATACTGGAAAAATGTAAGCAAGCATCATATTAACATTGAACTTCTTTATTTAATTAGTGTTTTGTGACTCTGACACGAGTCTCAAGCCTTCTCAGTCCTCTGATATGTATAAACCACACCAAGTTATTCTACAATCACATCTGTTGTATCATCTCATCATCAAAGCATTTTCTTTTCTTAAAAATGCTTTCTTAAGAGCATTTAAGTACAACATACCAATAATTTAACAATAATTTACAACAGCACTGAAAATCAGGACTACATCACTACAATTACAGATGAAATAATACTCATAGGTAATTAACTTGGCTAACTATAATTAAAATTCCTAACCTTGACATAGCATATATATTTCCCACCACTACGTCTAAGTACCGAATTTCGGCGCAATCAAATTTTAGCACAATGTCATTTTTAAGCAAAATAAAAAATTAATGTCTTAGCACAATTACAATTATTGCTACATACCTTAATAAACAAAACACAGAAACTCCAAATCGTGCAATCATATCTGAACAATATTTTCAGTGTGGTAAGTATTAAAATGTGATTACTACTATAATATGTATGTTTATAGTACTGATAATGATTAATTATCTTTATGATAGAGTTTCTACTTTTGATTTGGCATCAACAACTATTTATAATTATACCTACCATGTAAGCTATCTACTCTATATAAATACCTGATAATCTATATACATAAATGTATCCTATATTTCAAACTTATAAATTCAACAAAGTCAATAGGTTTGTGTGGATTTTTGACTCAATATTGCCTGTTTTATGATAAATTTCCATAATTTCTGAAGAAATATTGAGGGTGTTGACCAGTGAAATTAAACTTTAAGACAAAATAATTCATTCTCTGTGACCAGATTTGTTATGAGAAAACAGCGTCAGACTTTTAAACTTTCTATCTGTGTCACCAATTCCTTGTTTATAATGAAGTTTCTCACACACAGCTAAAAGCTTTCAAATGAACATTGTCTGAAATTATTTATACTTTAATTTTTGAAAGAAAGATATAATTTCAAAACTCCAATAATGAAACATTATCACAAGAATAGATATTATTCTATTTTTAGTTACCCCCCAATACCCCATGGACAAATTCACATCTGTTTACTGAAAGTCATCGGGAGGCTGTATTTACACGATAATCAAATTGAACTGACTTGTAACTTTACTAAACAGCAATATATATGGATGGGCTTATATCCAGACATGGGCTTAGCACTGGACAAATATTGGTGATTCATCCTTACACATTTTCCTGTATAATCTCTGTCATACATTATAAGTGTATGTTGTATACCATCTCATTCACAGAAACAAACCTATACAAGCTACTGGTATTATTTTTGCCAGACTTCTATTGTAATGCAGTCATAATATATAATTACATACTCAACAGTTATTGTACTGCTTTAGTAACTAACAAATCATTTTCATCCTAGAATCTTTGTTGTCTCTTTTATTTTAAAAAATGTTTTGGTAAATTGGACATATGTAGGTGATGGAATCATATTTTTATGATATACTAATTGATGTGGGTGTAGAAATTTTGATAGTGCTGAAAACTTGTTTATACCAGCACCTTGACACTAGTATCTAGGCATGGTGTCAACCTTCCAACAGTAAAGCAGAGATGAGAAGATGAATATAGGGATATCTCTTCTTTCAAATCAGACAAATATCGCAAAAATCATTATTCATTAAACAACTATTTACCATACGTATATCTGTAATAAGCCCAGGTTGTCAACAAAAATATCTATCAACAGTTGAGGTAAGCTTATTGCAGGACTAGGTATGATAATTATCATTGAACAGCAATTAATAAGGCTCATTACAAGGCATGGACTCACTGCTAAATAAATACGGTATTTAAAATTTGAACTTGAAATATTTTGCTTACGTAATCATTTGAACTTCTTTGAATTTATGTAAAATCTCTTTGAAGTTTTCTATTTCTTCATTCATCAAAATATTAAAGGTTTACAGACTGATAATGTGTATCCAACATAAGTACATATATGATTTGACACATTCATACATATTACACAATAGCATTCGCTCAGTACACATGTACTAGTAAATATCTAAAATATCATTGTACCATTTATCACATGATTTCAATGAAATATCAATTTGAAACGAAACAAATTTCAGGGGTGCTTTGAACTACCTTAAACCATTTATGTTTAGAAAAATTCAACTCTAACAGGTGCTTTTTTTGGGGTTAACATGTGGTATCTACACATCTTTCATTAAACATCTACAAGAATGTAGTATAATCTTTTAAACTGATCTTTTAACAAGTTAACCTGACATGATATAATTTTATACATAATGTCATTCTGTCAGTCATTAACATTCTTTATATGACGATAGCATCTTCGACAGGAAACTAAAAATTATATTCATATATACTGCATTGAACATATCAATTAGTTTATGAAATTGATAATTTTGACCAAGAATATCTGAAAGACTTTGGTATACCTGTGTCAAATGGTAAGACTTAAATTAACGTAAATGATTTAATGATAAATATTATCTACAGTACATGAATTTTGTTCTCAGTGGCTCACAAGATAACTAAAATCTAAGTATACTTACTACACCTACATCTGGATACAATAGTAAAAAACTCCTCTTTTATATCTATATGTTTTATGAAACTCCAATTTCATATTGAAGTGTTCTAAAACTTCTTTTCCATAGAGGTAAATTATAAAACTACATTTTCATATTTGTTGTAAACTTTTTCATATCTATAAATGTGTTAACAACTCCTATTTTATACCTTTAAGTTATAAAACTGCTGATTTGTATCTATATGTTGTTATACTTCTTTTACATATCTATAAATTACAAAACTCCTCTTTCGTATCAGTAACTTATAAATTCCTCTTTCGTATCAGTAATTTATAAACCTCCTTTTCGCTTCTATACTTATATCCTCTTTCGTATTTATAATCTATAAACTCCTCTTTCGTATCTATAAGTTATGAGAGCCCATATCAGTGCAGAAGTTGAAACCTATCCTTCATTAAAAGCAAACAAGAATTCAAAATGGTTTTTATCTTCCAATAACCAGCAAAGTGTGAAAAAAAATCATCTCACATGAATCATTAAATGTGAAAAAAAAAACAGAAATAATTCAGAATCATCAAAAAATTCAGAATTCAAATTTTCATACATTTAAAGCTCTGAATGATTACATTTCAGATCTGAAAAATAGATTTCATAATTACTTCCTTTACTTTCAGCTCAAATAAAATACTATTCCGAGTAAATATTTCAACACAACCTTTATCACAACAGAACCTGTGTACAAACATTAAAAAGGTATATACCAAACTCTAGGCATGGTAAGTAACTGTTCTTAACTGGATATGTAAAGTCATCACTTTTATTGAACTGTTAGTGTAAAAACAGATAGCATTCCTGTGTTAAGAAAGAGGAATTATTAAAAGTCAAACAAAACAAATAGTATTTTACTGAGAAATAATATAGTAAAACAGCTGTTTTTTCTTTTCTTTTATTGATTGGCAAGGTTTATATACGCAAAAAAAAAAATAAAAAAATAAAAAAATGTTTGAACAATAACAATAAATGAACTTTTACAATAAATGTTGGCAACATAAGATATTATGACATTTGAGACCTAACCTTCACAGGATTGTTGAGACGTTAATTCCATCAATATTTATAAAATATTTGAGACAGCTGTCGCTGAATCTTACAGATATTTATTGAACATTCAACAACAGTAATACGACTGCAAAACAGCTACAAGAAGAAATAATATTTCTAAACAATCTATTCTGGAAAAAGAACACAATTTAATTTTTATAAAAATCCAAGTTAAAAATCAATAACTGCTATGTTTTTTCCTTTTTCAAAATATCAAAATATAGAGTTACCAGATAAATGATGATAATTTTACAATATCTAAGATAGAAGGGAAGTAACTCTTTGTTCTAGTGAAAACTAAAAAATAACAAGTTTTGTCCAATATCCAAATTGGTTTTTAAAATAGTTTGTTGAATAAAATAATCCTGTAAAAATTTTAGCTAAGAGTTCAAATAATTTTAAAACAAAGCACCAATATAATGTTCACATTATTTCAAAATATTTCCTATGCATTATAATGCTGAGCTTATCATTTGAGGCAAAAGTAAATTAGCTAAAGATTGTTAGATTTAAAAGAAAATTAATATATTCAATTTTTAAAAAACAAATTCAAAATTTTATTTATACACTTTGAAATAAAAAAGGTGTTGGCAGCTCATTATAAATCAATCAGAAAACAGATTTTTCTCTTAAAAGAATTTGCTTCATTTTGGCATTCTTAGTCTTGAACCATTGATTAATGTTATATCTCATCTTTCTAACTCAATCTGTGTCTAAAAAAGTTATCTACATCTAGAGTTGGCTAGTACATGTTATTTTGGATGTTTGTTTAACTTTTCCAAAACTAACTACTTTTATAAATTAATATCACTTCTTTTGAGTGAAGAGAAATACACAAGTTTATACAGAACAAGAAATCAACTAATCCAAGGGAGATAACTGGATCTAAATTCTTAAACTTGTATTTCTATTGAGTTAAAAAAAAATGGAAGACTTTTAAGAGTTAATGCAAGACACAAGGGATGATGAGATATAATTATTTAGCAGAAAAATTAAATCAGCTAGAATATGTTGTGTAAATAGCAATTTTGCATAGAATCATCTATACACCACAAGCATGTAATAAATTCTATCTTTAAATAGGTATTTCTGCTAAAGATTACAGTCAAGTAATTTTAATGCAACAATCATTTTTATAATCATCAGGCAATTATCACAAAGGCATTCTAACCATATCCACTATTCAAATAAAAAAAAAGAAACTGTTATCGATAAATGTGAAAAAATCTTTCTTCTATCACACGTATAAACTTATCTCGCATTTTTAATTTAAAATTTTCGTACCATAATATCAATTCTTTCCTTCTTTTTGCTTTATATTCTTGAGAAAATGTTGTCTCCCTTTGAAGTATCTCTTCTAGTTCTTTCCAATCTTTGATATATATAACTGGAGCATTTTCTTCTTTGAGCAAACGAAGTGGCACAGAGTTTGAGGCCGGAGATTCACCACAGTGACCGGAGGTCATCACATCCTCAATGACAGGGACAGATCCATAGGACATAGCCTCGTAGATCCTATAGCACTCAGTGTTGATCCCCACTGGATTCAAAGTAAGGTCACTTTGGGCAAGGGCCCGTAGGTATGTATCTCTTGTGTCCTCTGTCTCATTCGGCAGCCAGCTTTAAAATATAAAAAATGACGTAAAAACACAAGAATTTGTTATTGTTAACTACTATGAATAACAAGGGGCAAACTCGTAATATGTGACTTAAAGTACAGAGTTGACTCAATTACAGGGCATAAATATAGCATTTGGTGCCATTTCTACTGAAGCTGCCTGGTGTGGGAGGGATAATTACGATGCAATTGCTCATTTCTAATCAATAATATAATTACTTTGTAATTCAAATTTATAGCATCACATAAACACGCCTCACTTATTTCAGTTAAGATTTCAATTATAATTTGAAAATTTTCACTCTAAAACTAATGGATCTTGAGCCATTGAGAGTAAAGAAGTCACTTAACTATGAAAATAAAATTTGGGAGTCATTTTTTACATCAGAAATTGTTTATAATGCTATAACTGCACTAATTAAATGTCAAAGCATCACCTTGTAGCACCCAGCTAAAGACATCACATGTACATCATCATCATATGCTATATCTCTGTTGTCTTTTTAGCCTGAATTGATTGACACAGACAAAAAAGGTTCATAAAATACTTTCATAGGACTGTTTTAACATGTGGCAAATTCTGTTTTTTTTAAAAAAAAAAACTAAAAAGGATATCATGGATGATAAGCCCTTTTTTCAACAGTATGAAGTAACAAAGATTGAAATGTTTCTGTCTGAAATGTTATAGTGATCAACTCTCTTGACAGTTAAGTGGACTTACGTGTGTCTGGCCCGTATAAAACAAGAACTTCCAATAGAGCTGGAGGTAAGCGTCTGCAGTAGTGTCTCTCTGGTCGAGTTCTTGTAGATTGTCCCTAAAAAGTTACAGATGTATTTCCTGCTATTCATCACTGGGACATTGTTTCCTTTTACTTTAGGAAATTCCCGATACCTGGAGCAAGAATGTTTACAATGGATTACTTTCTCTGACAAACAAAATCAAAGATTTCCGCGACAGATCAATTTATAACCGGTATCACGTGTAAGCTGACATCATGCCTATCTTCTCTTTCTTTGATCAACACAATATTATTGGTGCGAAAATTCAGAATTTTAATGATATAACAATATTTGATTTCCTGTTCTATGGAGCAAATGTCTGAGGCAAATTTCTGTTTTTCATTGCTTCATAAAGCTCAATTATTGATCTGTAATGACAAAACCTGAATACAAACACAAACATGTACTTTTCATAACATGTTTTCATGATTTATCACGTATTTCTCTGCAAGAAAATTAATTTGATATGTTTTTGCACTTAACAAAATTAGCCTTAACAAAATATGCATCATATGTAATTTGATGGAATAAATTTGTGTAAAATATATCACAACAAATACTTACGTAGCTACTCCTAAAGGCCATTGATATAAATATTTGTTGTCAATTTCTGAACTGTCATAGGTGAGAAAAACCAACTTGACCAGACCGTTGTTTCTTTCCATATATGGTTTCAGCCAATCATTATCACATTGTTCATTACCCAACAACACCACTGCTGCATTCTCAAGTCTGGGGAGGGAACTGAGATGATCCAACCATTGTTTGGCTAATGCTATTTTTGATGGTTCTCGTCCGTTTAGCACCAATACAACATTTTGTGCATGTTTAGGAGCTTTTGATGGGATTACACCAGGACCAGTCCGAAATCTGTAACATAAAGTTAAACTTTATTGAACATTATGTACTAGTATTCTAAATTAACAAAACATGGAAATAAACATCAAACAAAACCAACAAAATTGACATTGCTTTCATTCTGGAGGAAAGTCCATGGTAAAGAATACACCATTATGAGTAGGTTTCAACGGTACCAGACACCTTTCACCTCTTCTATTATCTCTAGAGATCAATCTAAAAATCATCTCTCACCTCCTCTATTATCTCTGGAGATCAAACTAAAGTTCATCTCTCACCTCCTCTATTATCTCTGGAGATCAAACTAAAGTTCATCTCTCACCTCCTCTATTATCTCTAGAGATCAAACTAGACTTCATCTCTCACCTCCTCTATTATCTCTGGAGATCAAACTAGACTAGACTTCATCTCTCACCTCCTCTATTATCTCTGGAGATCAAACTAGACTTCATCTCTCACCTCCTCTATTATCTCTAGAGATCAAACTAAAGTTCATCTCTCACCTCCTCTTTTATCTCTGGAGATCAAACTAGAATTCATCTCTCACCTCCTCTATTATCTCTAGAAACCAAACTAAAGTTCATCTCTCACCTCCTCTATTATCTCTGGAGATCAAACTAAAGTTCATCTCTCACCTCCTCTATTATCTCTAGAGATCAAACTAGAATTCATCTCTCACCTCCTCTATTATCTCTAGAGATCAAACTAGACTTCATCTCTCACCTCCTCTATTATCTCTGGAGATCAAACTAGACTTCATCTCTCACCTCCTCTATTATCTCTGGAGATCAAACTAGACTTCATCTCTCACCTCCTCTATTATCTCTAGAGATCAAACTAAAGTTCATCTCTCACCTCCTCTTTTATCTCTGGAGATCAAACTAGAATTCATCTCTCACCTCCTCTATTATCTCTAGAAACCAAACTAAAGTTCATCTCTCACCTCCTCTATTATCTCTGGAGATCAAACTAAAGTTCATCTCTCACCTCCTCTATTATCTCTAGAGATCAAACTAGAATTCATCTCTCACCTCTTCTATTATCTCTGAAGATCAAACTAGAATTCATCTCTCACCTCCTCTATTATCTCTAGAGATCAAACTAAAGTTCATCTCTCACCTCCTCTATTATCTCTAGAGATCAAACTAAAAATCATCTCTCACCTCTTCTATTATCTCTAGAGATCAAACTAGAATTCATCTCTCACCTCCTCTATTATCTCTGGAGATCAAACTAGAATTCATCTCTCACCTCCTCTATTATCTCTGGAGATCAAACTAAAGTTCATCTCTCACCTCCTCTATTATCTCTGGAGATCAAACTAAAGTTCATCTCTCACCTCCTCTATTATCTCTAGAGATCAAACTAGAATTCATCTCTCACCTCCTCTATTATCTCTGGAGATCAAACTAAAGTTCATCTCTCACCTTCTCTATTATCTCTGGAGATCAAACTAGAATTCATCTCTCACCTCCTCTATTATCTCTGGAGATCAAACTAAAGTTCATCTCTCACCTTCTCTATTATCTCTAGAGATCAAACTAGAATTCATCTCTCACCTCCTCTATTATCTCTGGAGATCAAACTAGAATTCATCTCTCACCTCCTCTATTATCTCTGGAGATCAAACTAGAATTCATCTCTCACCTTCTCTATTATCTCTGAAGATCAAACTAGAATTCATCTCTCACCTCCTCTATTATCTCTGGAGATCAAACTAGACTTCATCTCTCACCTCCTCTATCATCTCTGGAGATCAAACTAGACTTCATCTCTCACCTCCTCTATTATCTCTGGAGATCAAACTAGAATTCATCTCTCACCTCCTCTATTATCTCTAGAGATCAAACTAAAATTCATCTCTCACCTCCTCTATTATCTCTAGAGATCAAACTAAAGTTCATCTCTCACCTTCTCTATTATCTCTGGAGATCAAACTAGAATTCATCTCTCACCTCCTCTATTATCTCTGGAGATCAAACTAAAGTTCATCTCTCACCTCCTCTATTATCTCTGGAGATCAAACTAGAATTCATCTCTCACCTCCTCTATCAAACTATCTCTCTCACCTTCTCTATTATCTCTGAAGATCAAACTAGAATTCATCTCTCACCTCCTCTATTATCTCTGGAGATCAAACTAGACTTCATCTCTCACCTCCTCTATCATCTCTGGAGATCAAACTAGAATTCATCTCTCACCTCCTCTATTATCTCTGGAGATCAAACTAAAGTTCATCTCTCACCTCCTCTATTATCTCTGGAGATCAAACTAAAGTTCATCTCTCACCTCCTCTATTATCTCTGGAGATCAAACTAAAGTTCATCTCTCACCTCCTCTATTATCTCTGGAGATCAAACTAAAGTTCATCTCTCACCTCCTCTATTATCTCTGGAGATCAAACTAAAGTTCATCTCTCACCTCCTCTATTATCTCTAGAGATCAAACTAGACTTCATCTCTCACCTCCTCTATTATCTCTGGAGATCAAACTAGACTTCATCTCTCACCTCCTCTATTATCTCTGGAGATCAAACTAAAGTTCATCTCTCACCTCCTCTATTATCTCTGGAGATCAAACTAAAGTTCATCTCTCACCTCCTCTATTATCTCTGGAGATCAAACTAAAGTTCATCTCTCACCTCCTCTATTATCTCTGGAGATCAAACTAGAATTCATCTCTCACCTCCTCTATTATCTCTAGAGATCAAACTAAAGTTCATCTCTCACCTCCTCTATTATCTCTGGAGATCAAACTAGACTTCATCTCTCACCTCCTCTATTATCTCTGGAGATCAAACTAGACTTCATCTCTCACCTCCTCTATTATCTCTGGAGATCAAACTAGACTTCATCTCTCACCTCCTCTATTATCTCTGGAGATCAAACTAAAGTTCATCTCTCACCTCCTCTATTATCTCTGGAGATCAAACTAAAGTTCATCTCTCACCTCCTCTATTATCTCTGGAGATCAAACTAGACTTCATCTCTCACCTCCTCTATTATCTCTGGAGATCAAACTAGAATTCATCTCTCACCTCCTCTATTATCTCTGGAGATCAAACTAAAGTTCATCTCTCACCTCCTCTATTATCTCTGGAGATTAAACTAAAGTTCATCTCTCACCTCCTCTATTATCTCTCAAACTCTCTCTCACCTCTCTATTATCTCTGAGATCAAACTAGAATTCATCTCTCACCTCCTCTATTATCTCTGGAGATCAAACTAGAATTCATCTCTCACCTCTCTCATTCTATCTCTGGAGATCAAACTAAAGTTCATCTCTCACCTCCTCTATTATCTCTGGAGATCAAACTAGAATTCATCTCTCACCTCCTCTATTATCTCTGGAGATCAAACTAAAGTTCATCTCTCACCTCCTCTATTATCTCTGGAGATCAAACTAGATTATCTCTGGATCTCTCTCTCACCTCCTCTATTATCTCTGGAGATCAAACTAGAATTCATCTCTCACCTCCTCTATTATCTCTGGAGATCAAACTAGAATTCATCTCTCACCTCCTCTATTATCTCTAGAGATCAAACTAAAGTTCATCTCTCACCTCCTCTATTATCTCTGGAGATCAAACTAAAGTTCATCTCTCACCTCCTCTATTATCTCTGGAGATCAAACTAAAGTTCATCTCTCACCTCCTCTATTATCTCTTGAGATCAAACTATAGTTCATCTCTCACCTCCTCTATTATCTCTGGAGATCAAACTAAAGTTCATCTCTCACCTCCTCTATTATCTCTGGAGATCAAACTAAAGTTCATCTCTCACCTCCTCTATTATCTCTGGAGATCAAACTAAAGTTCATCTCTCACCTCCTCTATTATCTCTGGAGATCAAACTAAAGTTCATCTCTCACCTCCTCTATTATCTCTGGAGATCAAACTAAAGTTCATCTCTCACCTCCTCTATTATCTCTGGAGATCAAACTAAAGTTCATCTCTCACCTCCTCTATTATCTCTGGAGATCAAACTAAACTTCATCTCTCACCTCCTCTATTATCTCTGGAGATCAAACTAAACTTCATCTCTCACCTCCTCTATTATCTCTGGAGATCAAACTAGAATTCATCTCTCACCTCCTCTATTATCTCTAGAAACCAAACTAAAGTTCATCTCTCACCTCCTCTATTATCTCTGGAGATCAAACTAGACTTCATCTCTCACCTCCTCTATTATCTCTGGAGATCAAACTAGACTTCATCTCTCACCTCCTCTATTATCTCTGGAGATCAAACTAAAGTTCATCTCTCACCTCCTCTATTATCTCTGGAGATCAAACTAAAGTTCATCTCTCACCTCCTCTATTATCTCTGGAGATCAAACTAGAGTTCATCTCTCACCTCCTCTATTATCTCTGGAGATCAAACAAGACTTCATCTCTCACCTCCTCTATTATCTCTGGAGATCAAACTAAAGTTCATCTCTCACCTCCTCTATTATCTCATCTCTCACCTCCTCTATTATCTCTGGAGATCAAACTACAGTTCATCTCTCACCTCCTCTATTATCTCTGGAGATCAAACTAAAGTTCATCTCTCACCTCCTCTATTATCTCTGGAGATCAAACTAGAATTCATCTCTCACCTCCTCTATTATCTCTAGGAGATCAAACTAAAGTTCATCTCTCTCACCTCCATCTCTCACCTCCTCTATTATCTCTGGAGATCAAACTAATTATCTTCATCTCTCACCTCCTCTATTATCTCTGGAGATCAAACTAGACTTCATCTCTCACCTCCTCTATTATCTCTGGAGATCAAACTGAAGTTCATCTCTCACCTCCTCTATTATCTCTGGAGATCAAACTAAAGTTCATCTCTCACCTCCTCTATTATCTCTGGAGATCAAACTAAAGTTCATCTCTCACCTCCTCTATTATCTCTGGAGATCAAACTAAAGTTCATCTCTCACCTCTCTCACCTTATCTCTGGAGATCAAACTAGAATTCATCTCTCACCTCCTCTATTATCTCTGGAGATCAAACTAGAGTTCATCTCT